TCAATAAAATAAAAATCATATTACTTCAGTAGTTTGAAACGACGTTTTAAAGCCAGTAGATCTTTTCTGGGAGAGTAGGTAAAATTAATGTAATTAGAAGTATTAATGCTGCAACTGTTCAGTAGCTCATTTTAGTTTGGAATAACGTCGATTTTAAGCCTAATTAAGGTAATATATTGTCACAGCTGTTAAAAGAAAAAGATAACTTTCGAACAATTAAATACAAGAATATATGAAGTTATATAGTTGAAGGAAATTAAATAATTCTACATTATTTCATAATCTAGCAGTATTAGTCCACAAGCATATCGCTGTTCCACTAAGGGACTATAACAAGAGGACATGCATTTGGTCAGTGGGATCCTCCCGGTGAGATTCTCTGGATATTAATATTATTCACTGTAATTAGATTTAACCTTAATAGGGTCATATTGATGCTAGAAATCAAAATCAACCTCTGAAATCAAAAAGGTTAATTGGTTTGGAATGACTATTGGCCTCAAAGGTTTGCTTTTTACACTCAAAATGTTATCTGGGTTATAAAAAGATTACTTGGGTTAAGGGCTTACCTCTTGGTTTCAAGGGGCTTGCCAATATGGTTGCGCCCATTGGTGACCACGATCTTAAGATCAAATACAGTTAATCGCCGGATATTACTACTATTTTATACCTGACTGTCGACGAATCTAATGTGTTTCAAATAGCATATGGTCAGGTATTAAAATATTAAGTAAGAATAGGGTTAGCCTGAGAGCAGTGTTAAAGCTGCGAAAGCGCTACTAACCTAGGAAAATAAAAAATAAACATATATGTTATTTAAAATCTGGTGGTGCACTGAATATTTTTATATATTTATTTTGCTCAAGAAGATTACACCCTTTAATATATGTATATGTTTTATATTTTGAAACATATACACACACACACACACTTTTTTTTTCTGAGTCACTCGTGAATATTTGTATCATCGCTTTACTTATTACTTAAGTAGTCTAAAATTCAATCTGAAAATATTAACATTATATTAGCAATTCAGATATCACCTCATTCATCAATTTGTCGTATAAACGAAATGAAATTAATGATTGAGGATGAATATGATGAACAACTGGGAAGAAAATACATTTGTTGAATTTATTTCTGGATTCAAGGTTCGACGAGTATTAATGCACTCATTAGATCTATATATACATAAAGCACAAAATCTGTGTGTCTGTTTATCTATCTGTCCATTATGTAACTACTCCTATGTCGCTGGGTCAATCTCATCCAAACTTTGTGGAATGATAGGTTGGAACAAGTGGCATGTTCATGGGGGTTCACAACCACCTCCACCCCTATCATTGCTGTTACTGAGCGTTTATTATCTTTGACGTAAGTTAACGTTAACTACATTCATAGATGGCGCCACGTCCTTACAGAAACAAAAAAAAACTATTACATTCTCTATAACTCAACATTAACACAGTGTGGGGAGATGGCATACAAACGTCTTATATATCTCAGAGAGTGCAGAAGCACTCTCTCGGAGGAATACAATGAAAAACTGGGCGCTTATACAAAACTTTTGAAGAGGTAATAATGAATAGTGTAACTGTATGTTATGTTATAAATAAATTGTGTGAAAGTTAGGATTTTTGTGCTATTTATCATAGCATCTACCCCCCCCCCCTACACACACACACATTTTTAAAGCTCATAAAATATAAAATAACAATGCAAGTACTTATGAGTGTTTATAAGATACTGGTAGCTCATTGAAATTGAATGCGTTAATAAAAGATACAAAAATAAACAGAATATATATACCGAAAACATTTTCATTTTTGATCCGACATTAACAACAACAACAAAATGCTAGCTGATCATACCGTTATCTTGCCGTAACAATTCGGCTTTAAACAAGATTGCTCCAACAGCCATGGAGGGATTATTTCTAAATTTTTTGTATTTATGTTAAATGAGAACAGGTTTTGTCCATGGAGAACATCAGGAAACTACTCAAAGTGGTTTACCGCTGTCAGATGTACCAGAAAATATAAAACGACTGTATAACAGCCTTGATAAAGTCACTAGTTGTTTGAAGACTTTTTTTCATAACAAGAGGTTGTTGTTGTTGTTTGTTATTGAGCACAAAGCTATAAAACTTACTATTTGTGCTCTACCCACCACAAGTATCGAAACCCGGTTGGGATGTATGTGTTTTTATATATGTTTATATATATTTCAACTTTGTTAAAGATTATGCATTTTATGTATTGTGTATTTTTAATTGTAAGAAATCCCTAAAACTTAATATAAATAATGATTATACATTATATAAGATTCATTAAGATGTTCAGAACTTTTTATACTTGTATCTTAAGTAATTATGATCTATTACAAGAACCCTTTTTTTGTTTTCTACTTTGATTTTGTGATAACCAACAAAAAATTATTATTTTATGAAAAAAAAATGGAAGTAACTTGAAACTTATATTTTTAGTTATTTTTTATTTACAGTTTTTTACGTCCCCAGTAGCCCAGCGGTATGGCTGCAGACTTACAATGCTAGAATCCGGGTTTCAATACCCGTGGTGAGCAGAGCACAGATAGCCCATTGTGTAGCTTTGTGCTTAATTACAAACAAAGAGTTTTTTTTTTTTACTGTTTGCGATTTTGTATTACATATAATAATCATTTATATCAATTTTTATGATATTTTTACTGAGATCTATGTTTATTTTTATATATGTTTAGATACAAATATTTCGACTTTGTTAACAATTGTGTATTGTATATAATTAGTTTGGCTGAAGAGCAATGCTAAAGCTAAGAAAGCGTTACCAACCTGTGAAAATCAAAAATATAAATCAAAAGACACGATATTTCGAACCTGGTGGTGTTTTGAATATATATGTATATATATATACATATATATAATCGATAGAAAATTAGAAATATAATACAAAATACAGAAATAGAAAAAATACAAACAAACTTGGTGTTAACTACCTCAACAAACTCATAAACTTTTCTCCAGATACTTCTGGTGCACGTGAAACCTCGTAATTCCAATCATGTGGTCTGTTGGTTTTCCTATTTATTTCGGTGGTGACTATCTACCAAACAAACCGCCACTTTTGAACAGATATAAACCAAAACAAATGCTGGATAATCATACTGATGCTTTGATGTTAAGGTTTGGTTTTAAACTACCTTCATTCAACAGGCTGGAAAGGACGTTTCTGGCTTTTTGTGTACTTACAACGTACGAGTCAAAGAGAACTTTAAACATTAAACTCTTGTTGGTTAATCCCAGTCAGAGAATGTATTTCTAACTGGTCAGAAGTTTTAATAGATTGTGCAAGAATGTGGTGTTGTCTCTTGTTGTTGTGTTAGGACTTTTACCATCACTAAAGATTGTTTGTTTGTTTCTTTTGAATTTCGTGCAAAGCTACACGAGGGCTATCTGCGCTAGCCGTCCCTAATTTAGCAGTGAAAGACAGCA